TATATATATATATATATATATATATACACACACACACACACACACATACATACATACATACATACAAACATACAAATACCTAAAAACACGAGTAGCAACCACCGTCCAGTAGATGAGTTCTTCTGTTGTTTTGTACACAATTGAAAATTGTTAATCCTAAATTATGTAACATGTTTAAAATCTATCGCAAATATATTATTGCATTAGTTTTTAAGTACCTTTAACAGCAACAAAAATAGTAAATTGTCGTTTCATGGAGAAAACTTTGCACGTATGATTATACTGAAAAATAAGAGTAGAATTAAAATATTAAAATATTTAAACTTGAATAGAACATTTCTGCACATTTTACTGAAATTAGGTTTAAGTCTTTCTTGATCACAGAAATACAGAAGCTCGCACAGAATGCACAAAACCGAGTTATGGATGCTTCACAAAAAACAGTGATTTTCACAAACAATTATCAGTAACTTTATTCAAGTATAGTTAGCAACTATTTCCATGTGCTTAAAAATGTTGAGACGTTTACTTTCCTTCCCCTACCTCCCATTAACAAAGCCCAATAACTTAATTAACCACATTTTCCACGTTTACTTTAAGACTGTTGAAACTTAATCCTGGTTGAAAATCTGCTGTATAAATAACTCGGTAAATAATAGTATACGCGATACTCTTTTTTTTTTCACACTAAGTGAAATTCGACATCACAGAACTAAACAAAACTAGCATCTCTACAATTGTAATAATGGTAAGTAGCGTTTTTTAAATATAATTTAGGCTAAGTGCATTGCACTAAAGATTAATCTTCTATGATTTGTTTGTTGTTAAACACAAAATTACACAATGAGCTATCGTTATTGTACTCGCCATGGGTATCGAAACCGGTTTTTAGTGTCATAAGCCTTCAGACTTATCGCTGTGCCACATCGTTTGTGGACTGAGATAATTATATTTTCCCGAGAAAGGCATTATTAGCACAGAGGTTGATTTGCCGTATACCTCTAAATTCTAGGTAGAACGATATCGTCAATAACACATATGGTTAGTCCAGAATTTTCAAATAAATTCTTTATTTGCTGATAGATAAGACATGATTAACGGAAAAACTAAATTACTAATAATGAA